CATCTTCATTTGGGTCGACCATGTCCCGCACGACGCAAAGAATATCGAAACGTGAAAGAATGGGCTCTGTGAGCTCGACGTTCTGGGAGAACGGAATAGTGCTGTTGTAGCGTCCACCGATAGGGTTGGCGGCCGCCACCACAGCACAACGGGCTTGCAAGGTGGTAACGATACCAGCCTTGGAGATAGAAATGGTCTGCTGTTCCATGGCTTCGTGGATCGAAGTACGGTCCTGATCGTTCATCTTATCGAACTCATCAATCAGACATGTGCCCCGATCTGCAAGCACCAGAGCGCCTCCTTCCAGGGTCCATTCGCTGGTCAAAGGATCGCGACGCACGCTGGCTGTAAGACCGACAGCACTGGCACCTTGGCCGGTCGCAAAGACGGCTCGGTGGGCAGTCTTTTCAACGTACTTCAGCACCTGCGACTTAGCTGTACCGGGGTCACCGAGAAGAAGTACGTTGATGTCTCCACGGATGGCCATCTTGCCTTGTGCCTCCTTGCTCACACCACCGAAAAGCGAGAGGGCAACAGCGGTTTTCACGTCCTGGTGCCCGTAAATGCTAGGCGCGATAGATCGCACGATTTTATCAACAATATCGGGGTCCCTGGACAAGGCACGAATCTCGCGCTCATCTTCTTCGGTTAAGTGAAAACCAGCCAGCTGGTCGTGCGATTTCACGATATGGTTCGCTTCGATGATCGTGGCAAAGACAGGGAAGCCGTTCTTGTTGTTAAGTTGAGCGTCGTAGCTGTTCCGGTAGATACCAGTCACCTCAATTTCATCACCTGGTTTGGCAGAATCGATGAGGTCTGCAAGCAAGACGACTTCACGCTGACGCGGCAGTCGTCCCGCGGGCACGGAGCCCGGTGACTCTTGCAATGTCAGCTTTTGGTAGTTCCGGTATACAGTCTTTTCGGTGTTGATGGTAAACGGCCCCTTCGACTGGCAGTTTTGACAGTAGGAGATCTTGACCTCCGCGCTCGCCTCCTGCTGGAAAGGTCCCAATGTGATATTGCACTTCTGGCAAATGAACATGACATATTTCAATTGAGGGAATACGCCAGTACGGCGGGTGACAACGCCACTGACACGGACAAGGCAGTTCAGGTGTTGCTGGCGCAGCTGCCGTAAGGTGTAGACGATCGGAAGATCCGAGATGCGGACGTGGATCTCCTTGTGAATATCTTGGTATTGAGGATAGTGGAAGAGTGTGACGTCAAGTGCAACTTGGTCAAAGACCTTGAGAACCTCGGTCGGTTCATTCGCAAGGAAGTAAGAAAGAGCGGCCTTTGTGGAACTCAAGTGAACATAGGAGACCTCAAGTGATGCAGAGTTCACCTCACCAAGTGTTTTGATCTTATGTCCGTAGACTGACTGACCGGCTTGGTCGGTGAACTCTGTGAGGAAAGCCTTGAATTCTCGATAGATCGAGCGCAGAACTTGTGGTTGCAGCACCCAATCAGTGATGTTGGCCGCCTTTACATCAGCTAACTCCTCCAGCGAGAGCTCTTCCATGGCATCGTCGCCCATCTCGATATCCTCGCGGTCCTCATCGTAGTGATGTCTTCGCCGCCGAGGTTGGCGAGTGAGGTCCATATCACCTTCATCATCATCCTGCAAGAAAGCGGCGGGCATGCGGCGGCGACGCTCGAGCTCGCGATCTCTTCGGTTCAAGCGAGCTTCCAGCTGCCGACGAGTCGCAATGTCAAGCTCTTCATGGTCTCCATCATCGTCAATGTATTCGCCTTGATAACGGTCGTTTCCAGCATCTCGGTAATCTCTTTCAAAGTTGTCTCCGAACAGGTCAATTCCATCTTCATCCTCTGCCATCTCATCAATATCGTCAATGTCCCCCAGAAGCTCTGCTTCCTCATCTCTTTCGTTGTCGTCATCATCAAAAGGGAGCATGGGTGGAGAGGAGGGAGGAGCTAGGAAAAATCAGCCATCCACAAATTCACTTTTGACTTCTAATGCGATGAAAACTTACGACTCGAGGGAGGAGCAACAGATGACACTTCATCATCAGGCTCTCTGGATCTTTTACGTCGGTTCAACCTCCCCAAGCCACGATTGGCAGCAGATGTGCTGGGTCGAAGTGGTGAACTGCATGAAGGAAACGATTAGACCTCTGAAAAAAAAAGCCGGGTGCTCTTCATCCAACTAGGGAAATGAGGAGGTTAAAGTGCATACCTCATTTTGTGTAATATTCAGCCTGGCGCTCAAGTATGATTGAAACAGACTGAATTGGCTATGTCCACAGAAGTTGCTGGGATGACAGACACTTCTTACAGTGGTGGGAGAGGAGCAAAGGGAGAAAGAATCCTTGGCGGTGTTGGTGCTGGTGCGCGGTAAACGACGCGTCAAAGCGCGATTCCCACGCGTCAGAATCAATTAAGTCCTACTTAGGTAATTCTCTTGCCTTATTCGGACGTCGCCGCTTTAAGAGCTACCACTCAAGTGGTAGTGCTAAGCCGAATGGTGATACTGATTGCACTTCGTACCACGCTCACATAACCAACAAGACTTGAAGAACCAAATGTGTTCTATCGACCATATCCACGGCTGACAATATTCGCGTCTTTGCTTCCATGAAGTCAAGGCCATCTGCGAAATCTTGAGCTTCTTTAAGATTACAAGGAGTAAAGGTTGGTGCAAACAGCACAAACATCTTATATGCACCCGCGTCGCGTCGGATCTTGACCGGGACTTGATCGCATACTCTTCAGCCTGACACATTGCTTGATATATCTATTGTCCTGTTCAGAGATCGATTAGCCTAACGACAAGAACATAGCGACAATGAGCACATCTGAACCGGTTGAGCCGTCAGCCGGCACCGACCAGCAGAAGACCTTGCAAGATGTCAGCAAGCGGAGAGAGAGCTTTAGCTCTCAGAACTCGCAAACCGCCAAAGAGTAAGAAGCCTACTTCTGAATTATATGATTGTTTTGATAGAAAGCCGAAGACTATGCCGCTGTTTACTAACACATGATGTCCATAGATTCATCGAATCGCAAATGCGTCTCGAGGCCGATGCCCGCGAGATCCTACCATACGTGAGTCGGTCTCCTCCCTATCGCGACAACAAGCAATCCTCATCTGACGCCGTCTAGTCCTTTGATTCCTGCACACAAGCTCTAGGACCCCTCCGACAGATTCTGTTTGCCTGTCTCACATGTAATCCTCCCTCCGATAAGCCAGATGCATCGCACACTTCCGCAGGCGTCTGCTATTCCTGCTCTATTGCTTGCCACGGCGAACATACCCTCGTCGAGCTATTTAGTAAGAGAAACTTTGTCTGCGACTGTGGGACAACGCGCGTGTCGTCCGGTCTACCCTGTGCGCTTCGGAATGACCCCAAAACCGGTGCAAAGGGCGTTCGGTCCCAGGAGCCAGCGCGGGAGAACAAATACAACCACAATTTTCAGAATAGGTTCTGCGGCTGCGGCGAGGACTACAATGCCTTCGAAGAAAAGGGGACAATGTTTCAGTGTCTTGGGCTGGGTACGGTCGAAACCGGTGGCTGTGGTGAAGATTGGTGGCATCCAGAATGCCTGATCGGGTTACCAAGGGACTGGTATAAGAAAGCAAAAGTTGCGACGGAGGATGTCGAAGCCGCGAAGCAGAATAATGAGCCGGATGAGAATGACGATGAGGATACGCCTCTGCCCCCGGGATTTCCGGCTGAAGATGACTTCGAAACATTCTTGTGTTACAAGTGTGTCGAATCAAATCCGTGGTTGAAGCGATACGCAGGAACTCCAGGGTTCCTTCCAGCAGTCTACAAGGATCGCGGTCTGTCAAAAGGCTCCGAAGAGGAGCGCATAGGCTCAGAGCCTTTGAATGCGTCTTCTGATCAGTTGACCAACACCAAGAAACGCAAGGCCGACGATGATGACACAACAGAGGCAAAGGAGACAGCCGAGCCAACTGCAAAGCGGACAAAGTCCGAGGGCGATGGCGAACAAATTCCCACAGAATCAAAATCAGAGACTACCCAGCCCGTACCCGCCAAACCCAAGCACGAATCCCTCCCTAGCCCACCCCCTTTCGGAACCTTCTCCCTCTTCCTCAAAGAAGACTTCCGCGAGCACTTCTGCCGCTGCCCAGAATGTTACCCCAACCTAGCCAAGCACCCCCAACTTCGCGAAGAGGAGGAAACATACGAGCCCCCTCTCTCGGAGGATGGTGATGCCAACGGCGGAGGCAGCACCGGAACAGGCAGTATCTACGACCGCGGCGAGGCAGCCCTGAGTAACATCGACCGTGTCCGGGCCATCGAGGGTGCGATGGTGTACAATCACCTCCGTGATAAAGTGAAGGAGTTCCTGAAGCCCTTTGCGGAGTCCGGCACGGCGGTCAGTGCTGAGGATATCAAGGCCTACTTTGAGAAGTTGCGTGGTGATGAGAAGCCGATAAAGGATGCTGCTGCTGGTCAGGCCTCCGCTTCTTCCGGGAACGGTGGCAACGAGAAGGACGAGGGAGGAGATGGTCGGAAAGAACAAAGTGGTATGTTTCGCTTGTGATTGGCTGTTGCATCAGGCCTTATTACTGACTCCTAGCAGGCTACTGAAATTACGCGTCTTTTCGGCTCAATCTTGACATCAAATTGTATTTTACGAAACGGAATAATGAACTGGACATAGGAATGGGGATCGGTAATGGCACTAGGCTTTCATTAGGCGTTTATGGAGGGAAGGAATGGACGGAATTTGTACATCAAGGCACCTATCTCATGTGCAATCTAAGTCTAATTACTACCATGCACGGTTCGAACTGTAATTGGAATGAGGCGACTTCTCCTATAATACATACAATTCGCCAATGATTGCGCCTGGGACAATGACCAAGTCGGCGCAAACGCAACGATATCTTAGCTGCAAAATCAGAAAGCCCATAGACGCCAATCCATGCATTAAATGGTCTATGAGAAGGATCCTAAACGCCAGTCACATGCTTGAGCTCGAATACTGGAAGAGAAAATAGATGCAAATCACTCCTTGAGCCGCTTTGCAGCCCTGCCCATGAGACTATCGTCTGGCAGCCCGCTCCGCTTGGTGCCGGGTAAACTGCCAGAGCGGATATCGTTGTCATCTTGAGTCACTCTGCGGTGGGGATATTTACCCTCGTAGCCGGCGAAACAATTAGCCGTGACTGGCGTACCTGTGGTGAAATACGGATGCTCTAACGCTTCCCGGGCTGATATCCTCTTGGTAGGGTCGTATTCGAGCAGCCGCGATAGTAAGTCGAAGCCTTCGGCACCCGGCGTGCCTGCAGTAGACGCTGGGGAATACCCATTATTCTTCAGACAGCTTTGGTACCATCCTTCCAGGTTGCACTGTCTGTTGAGGTAACCTCTCGACATCGCTAGCGACTGAAGTTGGGAGAATTCGGGCATCGATACGAGGCCGGGCCATGTTTCCTTCCTGGGCAAGCCCATGATGTCGATAATCTTCATCATCTGGTTACGCTGGAATGGTACTGTCTTTTTGCTGTCCATCTTAGCTTCTTCTCCTTTGAAGATGGGTCGGAGAGAGAGCAGTTCCGCGAATATGCATCCAACTGCCCAAAGATCCACGGCCGGCGTGTAGTGCCGGCTGCCCATTAATAGCTCGGGAGCACGATACCAGATCGTGACGACAACCTTGTCTCCGGAATAAAGAGAGTTGAGCGGTTTGTAAAATAGACGGGCGAGGCCCAGGTCTCCAATGCGGACCGCACCGCTCGAAGTCACTAGAATGTTTGCCGGCTTCAAATCTCGATGCAAAACCCAATTCGTATGAAGGTACAGGAGGCCATTCAGGAGCTGAAACAGTATCGACTTGATCATCGGTGCGGGAATGGCATGTCTCTGCGGCTGAGTGTGGTGATGGATGATCTGAAGCAGATCATGCTCGGTGTACTCGAATACCATGAAGATACACTTGTCTTCCAAGATGATCTCTGCCAATTGCACTACGTTGGGGTGGTCTAATTCAGAGCACAAAGCCATCTCTCGGATTGCCGACTGCGAGAGACCTGTATACTGGATGATTTCACCCTCTTTGTCGGGTTTGAATCTTATTTGGTCAGCCGATATAGGAGAAACTAAGGGAAATGAATTGACTCACTTCTTGATCGCATATTCGCCTTTCCGGCCATCCTTTCCGATGGCTTTGTAGACGCGACCATATGTACCACTGCTGATGAAGCCAACGATGTGATACTTGTCACGGACCCGTACTTTGCTGGTATACCCAGTTCCCGAAGGTCTCTTCGAGTCTAGACTTTCTTTAAACAAGGAGTCAGCATCTTGAAGAGATCTGGATGTTTAGAGTATATATGCTTGAAACTCCAGTTAATTCCTTTGGTAAAGCAAAGAACAGGGGTATATAAAAGGAGGCAAATGGGCCAAATGGCGGAAAGTCTCGGCGCAGATTGATAAACTCATTGGAAAGGGCACTGCAGCAATAATGACAGGCAGAACACTGGGACCAACATAAGGGATATTACCACGTGGATAGAACCCGCCGATGGAGTTAAAGAATGGGAAGTTTCTTCCAAACATGATGGGCAAGATACAAAGAAGCCGCAGTGGAGCTCCACAGCTCGAAGGCCTTTTTATCTTTTCATCTGCAACAAAGCTTAAATCTCTCCCAGAAGACAGCAGCACATGGAGGATTCCGAAAAGGGTAAGAATGAAGTAGGAGACGGAAAAGATGAACACTTAAGAGAGCCGAGTGGCAAGGAAAAGAAGAAATGGATGTAAAATAGGTGACAATATGATATTAACCGGTATTACCATCAACAGCGGCCTGTAAATTCCGTTTTAAAGACAGATTTTGGCTGACGCTGGCTGCAGCGGACCGAGAGGATGCAGTTAATGGGCCGGATGATGAAGCCTGGTTTGTCAGACTCATGGATGGAGAGATTGGTGTGGAATAGCAAAAGGGCCCGAAAGGTGGAGGTCCGGAGTATCTCTCGGTAACCGTTCAACTGGGGTGGATATAGTAGTGTACTAGGATCTCCTCATCGAAATCCACGGTCGGAGTGGTGGCATGGACAGTGCACTCTCAGGATTCTTGACAGCCTGTCTCCACAACTACTAGAAATGATTGCATGCAGAAACGATGATGAGGCCGGGTTTGGAAAGACAAATAGCAATGGCAGTTGAGTATGTTGACGATGCATTGAGTGATCGGTCTGGGTCTCTTTCTCGACTCTCCCTGAATTCCCCCTCTTTTGTTAGTCAGCAGGCACATATTGCTTTTTCCACAAAAGTCACTCTCGCTTCATGAGAAATACAGTTAGGATGATGAATGTTACTTTCTTTATGACTATTGCTGAATCTGAATTGTCTTGCATAAATTCCATGGTAGTGTCTTTGGCCACTTTTCTTTGCTAAGATGTGTCGTCGACGGCCAAATTGCGGGCTCCCGTGTTATACTCCAGCATCTGCGGAGTCATACTTTGAAGGCGCTGCTAGTCTCGGGACATAGTATTTTCATCGACTTCATAGGCTGACAGTACGACTTCTCTCCTTGTAGATAGTAGACATCTTGCTAGAACTGTCACATTTGGCTAGACAGTGTCCATGGCCTGCATCAGCACGGAGTTTCCTTATCCCGGCAGCAGTCAAAGCTCCCACGGCCCCTTTCAACGTCATCTGCGGCCAACCAATACCTACTACGAGTAGTAGGGTCACATACTTTCACCTTCGATCTCAACAATACAATGGTTCGATATTGTTTTAACTAAATTACTACCTCGTGGCTTCTTTTACCTCGATCTAGCTACATGATTCAGATCAATATCCACTCCGACAGGCCAACAGACCAGTAGCATCATGAGTCCCACTGGACCGACCCGATCCAGGGTCACAGCGTGCCTGGTCTATCTCGTTTTCGTTGTCACACTAGGACCGCTTCAATTTGGTTATCATCTGGTTTGTGCAAAGCGTTCTTGGATTGCTTGCGTCCTGGCCGTTACTTACAGTGGACTGAAACAGGCCGAGCTTAATGCCCCCCAAGCTGTTATTACCTGCGAGCGAAAGAGCATACATTCTACCGCTTCGGCATTGTTCAGAACTCTGCCTCAATGTATCCCAATGAACCCTTCCCAATTTGGCCTGGTGTCTTCCATATACACCCTTGGTGGGTTGCTAGGTGCCCTGCTGGCAGGACCCGTTTCCACTAAACATGGGCGACTATTCGCCTTGCGAGCTACAACGATTTTCTTCATTCTGGGCCCGGTAACCGAAACGTTTGCACCAAGTATACCGATCTTGAGTGTCGGTAGGTTGCTGAGTGGTGTTGGTGCGGGTGCTGCTATTGTTGTTGGTCCAATTTATATATCCGAAATTGCCCCGCCCAACGCGAAAGGGTTTTTCGGCGCCTTTACGCAGATTATGACCAATGTAGGTATTCTATTTACTCAGACGCTCGGCTATTTTCTCAGCAAAGGCGATCAATGGAGGGCCATACTTGCCGTGGCTGGGTTACTCGGGGTTTCGGAACTCCTTGGTCTATTCTTCGTACCGGAAAGCCCCACTTGGCTAGCTGAGCATCAACAGGCGAACCTGGCCAGACATGTGCTGCAGAGGATACGTGGGAATGGTGCAGATATCGAAGAGGAGATTGAAGGATGGAAGAGCTCTGAGAGGCCCACAGGACCGGAGGAGGAGGAGTCACTGCTCACCCCTCCTTCTGGCAACTTGCCGCCTAAGCAACCTCCAGTTACAATCCTGCAAGCTGTGACAGATCCATACTACCGTCCGGCCATCGTTGCTGTCATCGGAGTCATGGTGGCTCAACAGTTCACCGGCATTAACAGTATCATCATGTATAGTGTCTCGCTTCTACAAAGTCTCCTTCCCACGGGAGCGGCTTTATTGACCGTGATGATCTCCGCCCTCAATTTGGTCATTACTCTTGCGTGCTCACCTTTGCCTGATAAGATTGGCCGAAAGACCTGCCTGCTTCTGAGCATCTCCGGCATGGGGTGCAACTCTGTCTTGCTGGCGCTCGGAATCTTTTTCAATCAGAAAATCTTGTCCGCGATAGCAGCTTTGTTATTTGTGGCCAGCTTCGCTGTTGGATTAGGTCCGGTACCTTTTATCTTGGCCTCTGAACTAGTCGGCCCCGAGGCTGTGGGTGCGACGCAGAGCTGGGCGCTGGCGGCCAACTGGACCGCCACGTTCATCGTGGCTCAGTTCTTCCCCGTGCTCAACGACGCATTGGGGGGCCGTGGTAAGATCTACTGGATCTTTGCGGTACTGGCTTGCCTTCTTGGAGGCTTCATCTACGGATGGGTGCCTGAAACCAAGGGCAAGGCCAATGCCGATGAGGTCTGGGGAAGAGAAGACTCGAGACGGAGAGATTAATGCCATTCTGTTTCATCTATCTGGTCGTTACCTCTGAGTACTCTTTTACTTTAGCAAGGTATCGAAGACTTACATCCGTATACCATTTCATTGTTATGCACCGGTTCGGAACGGACCGAGACAATGTCTAGGCTGAATTTACTTGCGTCATATTGGGAGATCGTCCGCAGTTAGTTCTACTACCTATGATTGATGCTCTTGCTTACGAAGTAGCACTGTTAGAAGCCATTCAGCTACTTTGGGTTTGGCGGCAGTAACCCCGCCTTATTGCGTCTCAACTGTGCTGAGTTCCCTAGTTGACTTGGGATGGCTGCAAAACGTGTGGTATCGAACAAGATCAGAAGATATACTATTTACTGCATAGTAAAGTCAAGATGTGGTGCGTAGTATCATACTGACAGGAACAACTCCATCGAGCCAGAGAGACTGTATGGTACCTACACCCCCACTGATCCGTCACTGATCCATGAGGGGAAAAGTGGGAGTCGGTCTTATGGAAGAAAAAGGTTGACTAGTCATGCAAAAAGACGTCAAGCGACTTGAGTATGTTGCACTGGTGCACACTAGCATGTACATGAGGAGCTCCGGAGGTTTGCCTCTTTAAACATGAGATATGGTAGTGAAGTAGGCAGCCATATTCCAGAAAAGCCTCAATTCCTCATTGCTCGACAGCAACGGTCGTGGTGGGGTCCGGACTTTTGATTGCCCAGTGCTTGTTGCGCCGTCGGTGGATCAATGTTTGATCTTCCCACAGCTTTTCTTTCTGTCACTTTCTATCATTTGCCTGTTTATGTCTGACCTTGACGTCTTAAAGCGTAACCAAGGGTCTTCCGGCAGGCTCGATGTATGTATGTATAATTTTAGCTTCACAACCTGCCAATAAATGATGATTAGTTGGATTCGCACGGCAAATGATGGTAATTGTGAATCCTTTCTCCTCGACGCTCAATTTCATAATTCTGCATATTATCCTGTAGAGAGGTCCTCTCCTCATTCTGCGTCTCTGAGAGACGGTCAGCTAAAGAAGGCTCAAGCCCCCACCAAGAAAACAAAAATATAGTACTATTCGTACTAACAGTCTTGGTACTTATTGTTGTTCTCTCTCTTGATTTGAGGTAGTGTATCTATCCCCTATTCACGCCCCCATCAACTTTCTTCTGTCTTTTTCTTCACGTATTCATCTTGACTCTCTTAGATCAAGTTGTCGAGAAATTCAATTGCATTGCCGTTAGAATTTCCATTCTTATTCTTCCTTCGCAATCTATTGTGGACTTTGTGGTGGCTCCCGTTTCTTGGTGAGAACGGAACTCTGATCGACCCGACCAGATCTTAGATCAACCCGGATTCAACCACACCGCGACATCCTCCGGTCGGTGGACGGTCCTGGAACCACCCATTTGCGATTCATTATATCGTCATTCTTTCTCTACGATCTGTACCTGTTATCATTGCAACAACTTACTAGACATCATCTCTTCTCAGACATTAGAATATTCTTGGGGCTGACGCGACGTGTCCTCCGGCTGCCGTCTTAAGCAGCTCCCCCGCAATTTCCGCCATCCACCATGGTGCGGTTACCATTGCCTCAACGTCTCAGCTCTCATCTCAGCGTGAAGAGCAATGCTTCGACTCCCGGTCAGAGCAGAAGCACAAGTCCGATGAGAACAACAGAGACGAGGCCGCCGGTGGTTCTCAAGGTTTCTGCAATTAGGGTGAGCGACCTCTTCTCCAACCCGGAATTTCCGCTGAGCTCCGTGGAATGCCCCTTTCGGAGGCTAACATCTCAATTTGAACAACATCAGGGCAGAAATCTTGCAGCTAAAGACAGAGGTGGAACCAGTGATCCGGTGAGTTCTTGTCAATGGATACCAAACTGAGGACAGGGCTGATCAGATTGCGTATTTAGTATCTAGTTGTTACACTTGGAGACTCAAGACAATCGACCCCAACAATACCAAAGACGTTGAATCCGGAATGGAACGTGACTTTTGAGATGCCGGTGGTTGGTGTACCGTTGCTGGAGTGTATCTGCTGGGATCATGACAGATTCGGGAAAGATTACTTGGGCGAGTTTGACATCCCCCTCGAGGACATCTTCGCCGATGGCGAAATCAATCAGCCGGTGAGTAAGGAGGATATATTGGCTTAGACCATAGCCACCAGCTGATCGTCTGTCAAGCCCAAATGGTATACTCTCAAGTCGAAGCGGAAGCCGACCAAGAAGAAGGACAGCAACGTGTCTGGAGAGATCCTCCTTCAGTTTGCGCTGATCGACCCCTCGAACGTATCGGCACTCCCGACTGAGATCTACCAAAGGTTCAGGAGCTTGGTGTGCGCTGGCGAGGAAGATGAGGACCTTCCGCAAGTCCCGACAAACGAATCGGACGAAGCCGACAGGGACGAGGAGACCTCAGATGAGACCGACGACCTGTCGAAACCAGAGATTGTGGAAAAGAGGAGGAAACGACTTCGGCTTGCTCGCTTGAAACGGAAGTCACTAGCAGCTCGGGCGTATCAATTTTCTGGGGCCGGCAACGGAGTCCAGGGTATCGTGTTCATGGAGATTGTGCAGGTAACAGATCTTCCGCCGGAACGGAACGGTATGTCGCTCGACCTCCATGGTTTAAGGCGGTTGCTGATTTAGAGAAGTGACACGTACTTCCTTTGACATGGATCCATTTGTCGTGACCTCGCTTGGACGGAAGACTCTCAGAACTCCCGTCGTTCGTCACAACCTGAACCCGGTCTACAACGAGAAGATGGTCTTCCAGGTCATGAAACATGAACAGTCCTACACGATGAGCTTTACTGTCATGGATCGAGATAAGTTTTCCGGCAATGACTTTGTTGCATCGGCTGGGTTTCCTCTGCAGACCTTGATCCAGGCTGCTCCTGAGGCAGATCCGGAAACGGGGCTCTATCGGCTCCGGGATCCATCACTTAGCCCAACAGGTTCTGATACAAGCTCTGTCGGTAAATCAGGAGCCAAGTCTGGTGTCAGTCCTTCACCGTCAACTCACAGTCTTTCGAAAATGTCACGGCCCGGTTTAATTAGGTCGAGAAGCTCTGCTGCCTCACTGTCTACCCAGTCTCAATCAGAGCAGCCAGCTCCCTCTCCACCCACCAGCGTCCCGGAGGAAAGAGAAAGCAGCAGCAATATTTCTAGTGCTCCAACTGCTACTGGAACAGAAGTGGGTCAGATGGATTCGCACGACTTCCAAGTGTACAAGATCCCTTTGACACTAAAGAACAAGGAACGGTGGGAGGACAAGCACTCTCCAGAGATTATCGTGAAAGCGAAATATATGCCCTACCGTGCGCTCCGTCAGCAATTCTGGAGACTCATGCTCAAACAATATGACGCTGACGACAGTGGTCGAATCGACAAGGTCGAGTTGACAACGATGCTTGACACTCTTGGCTCGACCCTGAAAGAGTCTACGATTGACGCTTTCTTCCAACGGTTCAGTTCCGGAAACGAGCCCGTCGAGACTGTGGATTTGAGCTTCGACCAAGTTGTGATGTGTCTGGAGGATACACTGCAGGCGCTGCAAAAGGTCCCTATGGCCAATGCCAACATGCAATCTCTAACCCCATCCTCAAATGGCAGCCAAAGAAGCGAAGAACAATCTGACGGCGACGAGTACCCTGTAGAGACGAGCACAACACTGCCCGCCAATACTGATCCTGGCACAACATCCGTACCGACGTTAGGCCAGGAAGAGCAACAATCCACGAGCGAGGAAGATCTCCATCCCGATGATCTTGGTGATGAGAGGGGTGAAGAGCACGTTATTGAGATTCGGGAGTGTCCTCTCTGCCACCAACCGCGGCTCGCGAAGCGCTCCGATGCGGACATTATCACCCACATTGCTACATGCGCAAGTCAAGACTGGCGGCAAGTTGACAACCTTGTGATGGGTGGCTTTGTCACTTCCAGCCAGGCGCAACGCAAGTGGTACTCCAAAGTCATCACAAAGATATCTTACGGTGGCTACAAGCTAGGCGCAAATTCCGCCAATATCCTTGTTCAAGATCGAATTACAGGGCAGATCAACGAGGAGCGAATGAGCGTTTACGTGCGCCTGGGTATTCGGCTCCTTTACAGAGGCCTCAAGAGCAGGGAAATGGAGAAGAAGCGAAGTAAGTCACTGTCAAACGAAAAACACCCCGGAGAATTGAAGGCTGACCAAGCTACAGTTCGTAAAATCCTCAAGTCGCTGAGCATCAAACAAGGCAAGAAATATGATGATCCAGCTTCCGCAGCTCAGATCCGGGACTTTATCAACTTCCATCAGCTTGACCTGTCGGAGGTTCTGCTACCCCTTGACCAATTCAAGACATTCAATGAGTTCTTTTACCGACAATTGAAGCCTGGCGCCCGCCCTTGTTCAGCTCCAAATGAGCCGAGGATCATCGTGTCGCCTGCTGACTGCCGATCGGTTGTTTTTGACCGCATCGACGAGGCGACCAGTATCTGGGTCAAGGGCAGGGAGTTCTCCGTCGAGAGACTTCTCGGGAATGCGTACCCGGAGGATGCTCCGCGCTATAAGAATGGAGCCTTGGGAATCTTCCGCCTGGCTCCTCAGGACTACCACCGCTTCCATATTCCCGTTGACGGTGTTATGGGTCCCCCCAAGACCATAGAAGGCGAGTACTACACAGTGAACCCGATGGCGATCCGTTCTGCACTGGATGTGTACGGTGAAAATGTAAGAATTCTTGTACCGATTGACTCGATCGCCCACGGCCGGGTCATGGTGGTCTGTGTGGGGGCCATGATGGTCGGAAGCACGGTGATCACTCGGAAGGCAGGCGAGAAGGTCACCCGTGGCGAAGAGCTTGGATACTTCAAGTTTGGCGGAAGTACTGTGCTGCTCCTCTTCGAGGAAGGCGTGATGAAGTTTGATAGAGACCTAGTCGATAACTCTCGGGGTGCCTTGGAGACTTTGGTGAGCACAATCCCCTTGCTGATTCCTGATTTCTATTTTGTCGACTCTTGCTGATCTTGAGATTCGCCGTATTCAGATCCGAGTGGGAATGTCTATTGGCCACAGCCCTGAAATCCCTCAGTTCGAGCCCGACATGCCCAAGCCAACCGAAGAGGTCAGCCTTGAGGAGAAGCAGGACGCCAAACGTAGAATAGAGGGCAGCCTGGCTCCTCCGACGCATGCTTTCGCATTGCAATGATCACTTCGCTTCTCCTTCAAATTTTTTTTACTTGAGAGCGATTGCAGTATTATCCTTAAAGAGGCCTGGGGCCTATCATCTCTGCATTCACTAGCATTTGAAGTTCTCTGTCCGGCAGAGTTTGTACATGTTGAATAGTGTTGCAATGGACATAATAGACGCAGCCAAGGGATGTCTCAGACGGAGTGTCAATTAGTCCCGGGACGTACATAGATAACTCATACCTTCTAAACCTATTCCCTAAAGTATTGTTAACTTGAAATTGTCAATAATTGTCATGCTTTGAAGAGGTGTTCAACTGCCAGCAAGTGTCGCTCCCAAAACAGCTTAGCGCTGTCCTCCACGCGCCACGACCAAAACAACCGCGTGCTGCAGCGACTTGCAAGAGCAAAACCCCGTCACCCCGACGCCGATGTTGATGCTCCAGCTGCGCAAGCACGCATTTGCACCTTTCGCCAGACAATCAATGAAGTCGGTCTAGTCTGCTCGACAGTCGCCGTCAATCGCGAACGTACGGCAAGGGCCCGATAGGATTGCGACCGACGCATACCAACAAACCCAGAAACACCGCCCGCTCGACCTGGTGACCTGCGACCGTGCAATCGCTCCGGATCCTAATCGATTCGGCAATCTGAACTACTTCCGCTATTACTCGGATACCGTATTGAATTGAATTGAACCCGTCGTCATCTCCTGCGCAGCGGCCGTTCGGAAGGTTGGCGGAGGTCAAACAAACAACACATCGAAGTGGATTACGCGCGCGGGGTGGGAGTCGTATTCGAATCTCATCGACTTTGGTGCATCAGGCGCTGGGGCAGTGTCTCACACTACGGAAGAGACAGGATCTAATCCGTTCACTTGCATACTCACATAAACAATACACGATCCCGGCCCTGACATGACCGTCACGGTTCTCGCCGCCCCAAAGACGAAGATTAAAACCACGACCAGAATCGGAGAGCGCGAACCGCTACGGGAGATTGATATGGCTGCGTCCCAGGCGCATCCGCGTTCGGCGTCTGGCGGCGCGAGCGGGAGTGGCAGGGGGAGGGGCGGACGATCGAGCGCGCGATTGAATAAGGGACAGGAAAAGGGGGAGGAGGAGGTTAATGTGAATGGCGGGTGGGGGAAGAGGAAGGCTGGTGAGTGGTTTCAATTTGTGCGGGTTGGGCTGGCTGGGGGTGCCTAGGAGTTGGTAGATGGTGAATGAAGGGTTACGGGTGTTTTTGCTAACGTTTTCTTTTTGTTCCGCTGTTAGTGGCGTATGATGAAGATATTGAGGGATTTCAGTTTACGCGACTGCCCAGCAAGAAACCGAGGTCGTCGGTTGATGCTGCACCAGAGAACTTGAACCCCATCCCTGAGGTACCACCACAGCAATCGCCTCGGCGAGGGCGACCGCCGAAAAAGAAGAAGACAGAAACGGCGCCGGAAGAAAGCGCGGAGCACACGGAGAAGAGTGCGGAAGTGTCAGGCAAGAGGCAGACGCGACGCAGGAGATCCGCGGTTACAGAGCCAGAACCCCAACCCCAGAGTGTTACACGTTCATCGACGCGGAAGCGCGAGGAGACTGAATCTGTGCCCAAGGAGAAAAAGCGACGAAAAGGGAGACCGAGCAAGACGGAAGGCGAGGCGAGAAACGGCTTTGTGTCGCCTGAACCACAGCAGTCGGGAACTGCGAAGATTGCGTTGCCTCTAGCCGATACGCCTGTGATCCAGCGGAACAAGGAGATGCGAAAAGAGGCCAAATCGGAGAAAGGAGGGAAGGGGAGGCGAAGTAGTCTGGGGATGAGAGGAAGGAGGGCCAGTTCACTGATTGACTCCGGGGCATCTAACGGTAGGACTATTCTTCTTGGATTTGCGATGGGAGAGTGCCGTACTGACTACCTTTTAGCGTTACCTCATAAAGAGGTCGACACGGCTGATTTCTACAAGCATATTGCAGACGGGCTCCCAGAGCCGCGGAGGATGAGGCAACTTTTGACTTGGTGCGCAACACGAGCTATAGGAGATAAACCTACAGGAGCGCAGCCGGAAGATGCCAGTGCTCGTCTAGCTGGTATTTATTTCAGGTTCCTTTTCACGAAGGTCAGGCTAACGTGCTGTAGCTCGAGTAATACAAGAAGAACTGCTCAAAGACTTTTCAACGAATTCCGAGCTCTCGAATTGGTTTGGGCGGGAGGATGTGAATCCGCCTGCTGTTGTGGTGAAGAAACCGAACCCGAAAAACATCCAAAACGCGGACAAGATCAGAGAGCTTGAGGAGCAAATACAAAGGTATGTTGCTAGACATGGTTTCAAGAGACAGATAAATGACACTCGAGAAACAGGTTGCAAAGGGAAAGGCATTCCCTGAATGAACTTTTACGACCTCCATCTATTCCACGACTGAAGCCCGAATCAAAGCAACCGCCAGATACATCTCAGGATCAAGGCTCATTACAAGCCGAATCGGCCGACCAACCGACTCGATCACTATTGTCTTTGCAGCCAGAGTCGATAGATACCTCGTTATTAGAGCCTTCGCAGCAGGAGATCTATGCCATGTTGCATCCTGATACAGCAAAGGCACGACGAAAATCGCAATCGCAAGAGCCATTGGCCACTACGCAATCGGGCCATCTACCTCCAATGCCACCATCTGTCGTATCTGCCCGTCTATCCCGAGTGGCATCAGGCTTAGCACCAACTCTGGACTCGTTCGCAGCCGGCGTGCACGACATCGAGCTATATCGCGCGATGTCGGACGCAGTCTCGACACAGGTACTACGCATCTGTGCGGAACGACTGGAAGAGCGTGATGCCAGGAACGCGATGAGGCGACTTGCAATTGAGGGAGGCGAAGCCGAAGGCGGACGTGTTAGTCTCCGACACGGAAGACCAAGGGAGGATCTGGGAGTTATTCTCGGGGCTCTCAGCCGTGTGGAGCGACGGTGATCAGTTGTTGTCCGTCAAAACACTCATTGAGTATCGTACAGGAGGATCTCCTGACCGATAATTTTCCATTTCCATGTCTATGTATAGTCGAGCGGCCACGAGCAGAGGAGTCACTTTTTATTTCTTGGTTGGTTGGGATGCAAGCAATGGAGTTGAGGTGTTATGATTTGATTGATTGCGGATGGTGGACACGATGCTGTATAGTCCTGCGACTACAAGAACAAATACAACATAGTGCGCTTAGCGCAGATGACTCGGTACATGAGCATGACCTTTGACTACTTCAATTATAAATAGTTGTTCTAGTAGGGCACCAGCACTCCTGCGTTATCGCCACAGGATTGGAATATATACATGCAGCATAATCTACTTGATACTACAGAGTATATCGCAGATGTAGTGATTCACTATGTCTCCTCCATGCAGGCAGTGTTTATTCCTTTAGGGTATTGAGGATACTAGCATTTGCGAAGCCACAATATTAATAACATTCTGGCAGACACCATAGCATATGTCCTAGAACCCTCCGTACCTCGTGTGGGTACTTCTAGCGCACACGGAGTATCCATAATAATAGTCAAGGCCTTCCTCATCAGGTCCAGACTCAGCTCAGGCTTCATTGGGCAGCAATTCCAATCCATCACATCCGGTCTTGGTCTTTCTTCTGGGTATATCTCGTCATGTAATGTAGAGGAGGGTGTGAGGTCCAAGCTCGGTGCTACGTAGTATACACCACTCTACGCAGTAGATACGTACTAGTAGAGTAGGTAATCAAGCAGTTCGGCTTGACCGACTCTTCACCTTGAATTTATCAGTCGAAGGAAGTTTCTAAGCCTCCGAGGATCCAATTAAGGATGCAGGATTGTATCTCATACAGATGTTGTTCCCACGTGGGGGTTGGTGTGGCGGTCATGCTGTGTATTTATATATATCTTTATTTCATTGTATTCTCCGTTGTCTCTCTGGACCAGGGAGTCATATCATGTGTTTGACCTCTAAATAATTCTTAGATAAGAGTATTCATGTGCCACAAACCAGAACTATTACTGAATGAGTATAGATGTCTACTAAAGTCTACCTTCTAGAACACGGCGAACGGAGCGGGTCTGGTCTAGTCTGCCATGTGATAATCATATTTTTCTCGCCAATCCTCCGAACTTGGTGTTGGCCGTAAGCAGTAAGCAGGTAGTTAAGCTAGACAAGTGGAAAGATCTGCCATCCGCATGACCAAAGTCACAAAACCTATGGGGCAAGCGAAGATCTAGAAGTGCCGATGACTGGATCTATTATGATAGGACTCGCTTGACCTGCTGTATTATCTCTCAGAGTAAGGTACTCTGTAGGCTATAGCTACCGTAGAGGCTAGCACTAGCAGTACGGAGTACAGTGGATACGACCGTCGAGTTTTCATCAAAGAAGTTGCTGAATGCAGCGAAGTGCTGGCTGGTTTTCTTGAGTCTGATTGATGTACTCTTCGAGTGCAGCATGCCACGGAAAGAAAATTTGCTGTTATTGTATCAAGGTAAGTTTAACTAGATACTTAGATACTTAGCGCTTATGATAATATTTCTTACTTCTGGATAGTCAGGGAGACTGGGCAACTTAAGCTCTTCAGCAGTCGCCAATCATCTTCCCACGCTGTGAGGATTTTCCCATATCATCCGAGCGCTCGGATCCACCGCCCAATCCAGAAATAGCAGTTTCATGAGTTCTCTTCCGACGCTCATATCTACTTCATAATTTCAACAACGGGCATTTATATCGCGTACCCGTTTCAATCAGTCAATGACAACAATGCCAACCGGTGCCTTGCCACATTAGCTTTGTCGCCCTAACGCACGCAGTGGCCAAGTCTCAGTATCCGTCCGGGTCGGAAGCGATACATCCCCGGTGTGACTCTGTCACAGAGTCCTCCTTCCCTTGCCGCCGATTCTCCGTCTGCTCAGCGCCAACGAAATGAGGATCGAATTTTGGTCCCTGCGTCAGCGCAGGTGGTACAGTCATCCTCGGCAACCGTCCTCCTGGTGATACTGAATGGTACGGGTTCGAGTTAACCATCCTGCACATGTCGTGGTGAGAATGGGAGTGAATTTGCCAAGGTATTATCTTCCAACATGTTTTAAGAGGACGATTAAGAGACCGCATAATCCAGCCACTGCGTAAATCGAAGCAGAAGAAAGCGCAAGCACGTCGTCGTCAGTCTCCCCAAACAGGAAAAGGATTAGACCTACCTACCTAACCCCCAAGAGGCTGTGTAACACCCCGCCGCGCAATCATCCAGACTTGAGGCACGATGCATCCCGTTGACATCATGAAAGGGGGCTCAGGCTGCAGTCATTCGGTGTTGCCTGGAGCAAACATTTCAGCTGGAATCGCACAGACCAGATTCTTTCGTCAGGTTTCTGGACTCAGATGTGAGCCTTGCTTGGACTGCGTACGCATTAGATACTTGTTAGTGGAGCTGGTATCATGGTCGATCCTCCGGAGGGTTGGCTGCAAGCCACTTCCGGGAGAGATGTAAGGAGTCGGATGAGGTTGATACAACGTCTTGGGAGGCGTACGTACGTTTCACTTTGTTTTGGAAAACATCTACAGAGTAAACATTCTTGAAGCTCCTTGAGTGGAGATTGGGCATTGGTATACTTATTAGTCTTAACTTCAGTGCTAGTAGTGGTTACCAGTTAGCACTTGAACTATAGACAGAAAAAGTGTCATAGCTCCTTTCACGCCAGAAACTACTAGAGATGGATGATCATCAGGGGACCACTGCCAAGGGGTTGGACTACAGCAGTCGGGAGGATGTGCTGGGCTGATTCATAACTAACTGCATTATTTTATTTATTATTTGACATGCAGCTGCAGTAAGCCAGCACCACCACTTACTCTGGACCTCACTTGTCCATGTGAAGATGAAGATCTCTGTTTAGTCATTCTTGATGTCTCCAGAAGCTTCGTAATCTTCATGCCTTCTTATCAGTTATCACTTGGTATCATGCATAGAACTCATAGCTTTTGGTTACAAGGTTACCAGGTACCTTAGAAGTTAAGACCTGATGCTATGAGTCTATTGTTTGAGCCCCACTATGCAATCCTTGCACCCCACTTGGGGAGTACTGAACTCTCGCCTCCTGTCGATGATGTCCAATGTTCATCTGTCTTTCTCGATAATCCTTAAGCTTGGAAACTTATATCCTTTCTTGCCTCATCCTATCACAGTCAATCCCGTGGCTTCCTATCGGCCATCGGGTTGCCGATAATTGACCTTGACCTGACGTGACGGCAACAACGCTTCCTATTCGCACATTCCCATTGTTTTCTTCCCAAGAACCACAGATTGTCCTCCTAGTCTGGGTCTAATCCGTCTTTCCCCCCGAGGCCCAGTTCCAAACTTCCCACTTCCAACTTCCCAGTTCTCCGTTCGGTCTCAGGAGTTCTAGACGACGGTCCCGTTCGGGCGCTAAACAGTTGTTGATATAGATAAGTGTCTATCAGTCTTCGGATGATCCACATTGCCGGCCTTTTTTTTTGCCTCCCACTGTTCCGCACCGTGATGATAAACGTAAACAGTAAAAAAATAGCAAAAACGACGGGAAATACCCTTCTTTTTTTTTTTTTTTTTTTTTTTAGACGATGGCTT